TTGCGCGTTGAGGAACCTCGGCGTCGGAGCACAGTGAGCACCACCTTTTGTCGTCGGTGAGTTTCCTAGGAGTGAGTAACTCCAGGGAATTTTCCATTCTAGAACTAAACCAAAGGAATTAGATCGGAAACTAGGAAACTTAAATTTTACTTACCGATGATGTGGTTGTGTGTTGTGTGCATCAGTGGCTGCTGCTTGAAGATGTATTTTTTTGTAGCAGCCCTCGCAAATGGGTTCTTGATTTCCCCAATACAACGTTGCCCGACGAGAGACCTCGGGGTGGCAGCAAACCAAACACCCGGAGTCCGTGGGTTTTGTCGGAGTGTATAACTGCAGAGAATTTGCCATTCTGAACTGTCTGAAGAAGCTGTGTTCTCGACGACTAATGGAACTATGAATTTTACGTGCAAATTTTTCCGTTTTTATAGGGGTTGGAGAAGGAGAGTAGGGGTTGTACAGGTAAAGTAGGAGTGATAGAAGAAGAGTAGGGGTTGTACAGGTGCAGAGTGTTTGCAAAAGTGTTTATTGGAAACTCTCAATTGTTTAGGATTATGATAATGGTAATTTACAACCCTGAACACCCGATTGCTTATCTCAAAGTAACGAAGGTTCTAAGAATCAGATGTGCATTATGGTGTTTTAGATTATTTTGTTTTTATAAATGGCATATTTAAGCTTACTTATTCACTTTTATTGACAAAAGGGGTCCACATTTTTGTTATTAACACTAGGAGAATTTGAAATTTTTAGAAATAGATATATTATTATGTTTTTTTTTAAAAAAAGATAAGGATCAAAGGGGCCCCTGAGATTTTTTAAAATTCTTGAAAAAACATACAATGAACCTCTGATTTTTTTTTACCTTTTGTAAAAAAATACAAATGGGTAGCCTGAGATTCTTTAAGGTGATGTTATCCGTTTAGTTTTCAGTGAATTTACAGTAGATTTTGTTTCACAAATACTAGACAACTAGTTGGAAACTAAACTTAATTTTTTTTTTACAATATCTTTGATATGCTATTAGTGTCCGGAACTTATAAAATTGGAGAAAAAATGACCTGTTTTGCTCTAATAAAATCGCAAATATGCTCAAAATCACACTAATATTAGGTCCGACTGTGCCGACCATAGTTATAAAATTCACATTAAAGTAAGTCATGGACATTCTTTGAAGTCTTTACTATGATATTTCAAAAAAAAAAATAAAAAATTCGCGATTTATAAAACTTCATAATTTTGATTTAAAACTGATCATGTTTGAAGCTTTATTTTATTCGTTCCATTTGCTGTCTCTTACTGCGGTCTCTCTCGGATTGGGGTCTAACACCCACCGAACGTTCTTGGACCGATGGGATAATTTATTACTTCCGACATCTTTTCGGTGACAAATTTAATCTTTGCATAAATTTACTTCAGTGTAGTTAGTGAACTCGTTGTGACCATTGAAATATATAAAGAGTAAATTTTGAAATGGGACGAAAGTCGAAGATTCCACTTTCAAAGCCACGAAAAAGTCGAAAAAACTTTTATCAGAATTATTATGTCAAAAACGTACTAAAACAACAAACAAAAAATGCAGTTTAATCATCATTTGATTAGTTTTACTATTATTATGCTTTTATTTCCTAATTTCTGTACATATAAATATTATTGATTTTTAGACGCGCCGCTGTTTTTATACACTTACATAAAGTGTAAGTCAATGTTACTAATAGAAATTTTATTATTGTTACTTTATATAATCACTAATCCTATTGCTTCTCGGCTTTTTGTCAAAGATCAAAGTGTATTACCTGAAAGAATTTTATTTTGTTGAATAAAAGATTACCATAAACCTTATAATTAGCCGGATAACCATTCAGTATACACAGGTAATTTCTATACCTCTTTAGTTTGAACTTAGCCGATACTAACCAGCTAGGGAACCAGTTATAATTGAAATATGTAATCCAAATAATTGAAGTATTTAGTTTTAAGTAAAACAATTGAGTATATTTATAAATACGCATAAATAAAAACGAAACAAATTATTGGTCTCTAGTTTATTTTATAATTTGCATTACATCATGACATATAAGTACGTACTGATGCAGAAATTGGTGATTTTCTCGTTGCATTTCAGTATAGGGACACACTCAGTAGAACCATTTGGACACTTAAAATTGATTTTATTTTACTTGCCACAAATCTTTTTAAGTGTTGCGCAAGTGATTGTTTTGTGTCCGAAAAATAACTGCATTTATAATTATTCGGCTGAGTGCTTTTTTTGTTGTAAATCAATCAGTTTTCCAATTAGATCATAATTGTTTGGTCTTACTATTTATTGTCTTAATTTTTCGAAGTTCATTTTTGTACATATTCAGATTTTTATTTCTTATTAATTTCTTGTGGTCATTTTTATAAACTCGTATATGAAAATTGAACTGTTGACGAACGAAAATCGAACAATAATACACGACAAGCGGGTGCCGAACTGTTCCAGAGATTATGGGTGTCATAAATTACACCCCAGCTTTCCTGAGTTTCAACCAGCTTATTAGTACTTCTCGTCTTTATTTTTCTACACGCAAACTTCTTGTGAAGACAATAACACGGCAAAATTAAAAATCCGACAGTTTTCATTTAGCAAACATCCCCTTAAGCTTCATAAAAAACAGAAGGGGCCTCTGAGATGTTCTACAAATCTCACACAACACCAGCGCCTGGTATTCTTTCACATTATTTAATAGAAGAAGGAATAAATAGAAGGAACCCATGACAGTTGATTATTTCACCTTCTATAAAAAATTGTCGAAGGTTGTTTCGACAGAACTTTCCTCGCCCCTGAACTACACACTACCAAACATATACAGCATTTTCGAAAAAATATGAAATTAGATTTTACGAATTTTATTTTTTTTTTTCAGGGTTAACGTTACTTTTTTAAGTGCCATTTTTATGCGCTAAGATATCTCAAGTTTGTAATCAATCAATAATTTTGTTCCTGCATTCTGAAAATTTTCAGATCTAGGTTGTCTGACGATATTCCGTTTTTATGGCTCTGACCTTCTAATTAGTAACCATAAACATACAATAGCAATTTTTCAACCGACCCTCACCAAAGGTAACAAATATTTAAAAGTGCAAGAATATTAAACAGTTCGCAAAGATGGAGCCTAATGGAAATTTCTAGGGGCCTTACATTTACACAATTTTTTAAGAAGTTAATCCGGTTGAAATAAATAAAAATAAAATTCACTATTTTCGCTCGTTTGTGTTGCATTATTTATTTTATTTATCTTAGGCGCTCTTTGTTCCTTTTTACTTCCCCAGCGTAAGCTAAGGAAGTATAGTTAGTAATCGAGTCCGTCGGACGAAATGTCATTTTTATGTTTTCTCAACGTTTCATGACCCCTACAGTACGAAAAAGTAGTCCCCCGTTTCCGTCTGTCTGTCTGGTGTCTGTATCCATTTATATTAGACAAGTAATTTCCGAAACTGCTGGACCGATTGTTGTCGAATTTTGTAGGTAGGTATATTAGAAATAGAATCTAGCTTAAAAGGAGTCCTCAGCAAAAGTAACTGTAAAATCCGTTTGAATCCGACAAGCTGTCAGTAGTGTTAACCACCTACCCTGAGTGTCGTATAATCATTAGGATAATTAACAATATTGCCTGCTGCCGATCCCAGCTTTCGGATTATGGCCAAGTAAATTTTATTTTATCTAATCTGTGCTCCGAAGTTTCTAGCAGCCGAATAGATGATTGTATAATGAATAAATAATAACAATAAACAATTAATTCTAATTTTCTGTGTTGTTAAGCGTAAAAATAAAAACACAAATAGATAGATATCACATATTTGAAAACATTTAATAATTACAAAATTCATGCTTGATTTGACGTTTTCGTAAACTTTTTACAGCAAAAATGTTTATGAGAGTGGAAACATTATTTTAAATGCATATTTTGACTAATTTATTAGGAAAAAAGTTATCCGCTTGTCAAAACAATTGGTCGAAAGTTGTTTCGACAGAACTTCCCTCGCTCCTGAAGTACAATGAAACATATCCAGCATTTTCGAGTTGAGTTTTTCTTTACACAATTTTGTGATGACATCATCAACATTTTTGCAAGGACACGTAGATTAACTTGGAATGGTGCAGAGTATTACTAAAAATAACACTAATGTATTCTCAAAATTTTCTGGGAAAATGGAGTGATTTAATCAATAAAATAAATAGTCTCAATCAACTAAAAAATCCAAAAAATCACAAGTAAAAACTCATCATATTTTGCAGATTTTGAGTAGAATTTATTCGGCAAAATCTTGAAACGACTTTGTGGAAGGAATAAACAGATATATTTTGGTTAACAAATTACCATGCTTACAATAAATTTAAAACATCTGCATTTGTCTTTTTTTACAAAAGGTAAAAAAATGTCAGAGGTTCATTGTATGTTTTTTTTTTTAAGAATTTAAAAAAGTCTCAGGGGCCCCTTCCGTCCTTATCTTTCTTTTAAAAAAGCATATCATACGAGTATCTATTTCTAAAAATTTCAAATTCTGCTAGTGTTAAAGTTTGTCCAGAATTATAAGAATTTTATGGACTCCCAACGTTAATTCGTTTTACAGCCCAGGCGTCAATTCTATTGTACAGGTAAAGAGCGTGTCAGGGGAAAGCCGATGCTTTCTTCAGCTGTACAATAAAATTGACAACAGGGCTGTAAAACGAATTAACTTTGGGAGTCCATAAAATTCTTATAATTCTAGACAAACTTTAATAACAAAAATGTGGAGCCCCTTTGACAACGAAAGTGAATAAGTAAGCTTAAATATGCCATTTATAAAAACAAAAGAATCTAAAACATCATAATGCACATTTGATTCTTAGAGCCTTCGTTACTTTGAGATAAGCAATCGGGTCTTCAGGGTTGTAAATTACCATTATCATAATCCTAAGCGATTGAGGGTTTCCAATAAACACTTTTGCAAATATTCTGCATCTGTACAACCCCTACCCTTTTTCTGTCACTCCTACTTTTCTTGTACAACCCCTACTCTCTTTCTACAACCCCTATAAAAACGGAAAAATTTGCACGTAAAATTCATAGTTCCATTAGTCGTCGAGAACACAGCTTCTTCAGACAGTTCAGAATGGCAAATTCTCTGCAGTTATACACTCCGACAAAACCCACGGACTCCGGGTGTTTGGTTTGCTGCCACCCCGAGGTCTCTCGTCGGGCAACGTTGTATTGGGGAAATCAAGAACCCATTTGCGAGGGCTGCTACAAAAAAATACATCTTCAAGCAGCAGCCACTGATGCACACAACACACAACCACATCATCGGTAAGTAAAATTTAAGTTTCCTAGTTTCCGATCTAATTCCTTTGGTTTAGTTCTAGAATGGAAAATTCCCTGGAGTTACTCACTCCTAGGAAACTCACCGACGACAAAAGGTGGTGCTCACTGTGCTCCGACGCCGAGGTTCCTCAACGCGCAACCCTGGAGTGTCCAAAATATGGACCTCTTTGCCGCCGCTGCTACAAAAATATCTGGGAGTTGTGGGAAGAGTGCAAGTGGATTGGACGTCGATAACTCTTGCCGATTATTATTATTGGAAATGCCCTATGTCTATTGTGTTTTTTTTATCATAAAATTTTGTTTAATTAATTATTATTTATTATGATATATTTTTTTGTAAATAAATAGCCAATAACAAAAAAACTTTCTTTGTCTTACACATTTATTTTATTTTTATTCCAATGATCACAACTGTGAACAGTTTAGGATTATAAGAAAGATAACGAACAAGTTATTGTTATTGTACTCGTAATGTTTAATGATCAAAGAACCCCGGAGAACCCTAGACAGCGTGTGATCGAATTGCGGTAAAAATTTTGCTTAAGGCCCCTCCACACAATGTCAAAATAAGGCAAAACACCGAATCATTTTGCACCTTGATTTTAACAGTTGAAGAGCAGGGCTATACATGTACATGCTTATGACATAAAAATGTTTAAGGAAGTGTTTTGAAATAAAAACTAAAGTGCATTTTCGTCGATAACTGTTGCGGATTATTATTATTGGAAATGTCCTATGTCTATTGTGTTTTTTTTTTATCATAAAATTTTGTTTAATTAATTATTATTTATTATGATATATTTTTTTGTAAATAAATAGCCAAAAACAAAAAAAGCTATTTCTTTGTCTTACACATTTATTTTATTTTTATTGCAATGATCACAACTGTGAACAGTTTAGGATTATAAGAAAGATAACGAACAAGTTATTGTTATTATAATATTTAATGATCACATGGGTATATATAAATTGAGGTTTGACCCCGCCCCTCCCACGACAGAAGGTTTATACTTATGTCCACCTGACCGTCTTTAAATTTCTACTCGGAAATCATTGGTATTTCTAATTGTCCAGGGTGGCTAGGGACTAATGACACTCATAAAATGATTAACTCTGTTTCCAGCTATCTTTAGAAATCTTGTATTAACTTATTTGATAATTAACATAACTTCCTGTTTGCAAAAGTGTTTATTGGAAACTCTGAATTGCTTTGGATTATGATGTTGATAATTTACAATCCTGACGCCCCGATTGCTTAATTGCTTAAATTAACTAACAAAATTTGAAACTTTTAGAAATATATGTTATGTACTCACATTTTTTAAAAGGCAAATGTCAAACAGGACCTTGAGATATTTAAATTTTCTTAAAAAAAATCATACAAGGAACCCCTGACATTCTTCCACCTTCTATAAAAAAGACAAAATATGCATAAAGGAATTTGAGATTTTCTAGAAATCTTTGAATATACACACTGGCAGCCCCTGAGATTCTTACACATTATTAAAAATAATGACGCAGTGAGTCCCTGAGATTCCTTTCCTATAATGTAGTAGTAAGAAAATGCATAAAAGGAACCCCTGAAATTTGATTTTTTCAGTTCTATAAAAAATTGATCGAAGGTGGTTGCAACAGAACTTTCCTCGCCCCTGAAATACATACAATGAAACATTTCAAGCATTTTCGAAAAATTATAAAATATATTTTGCGAATTTTATTTTTTTATGAGAATTCCTATAAATTGAAATAAATATGTATGTAATATTAAAGTAAATGTAAAGCTACGCGTATGTCTCAAATGAATTTTTAATTTAGAAAATTTTGTGATGACGTCATCAACATTTTGCAAGGACACATTCATCAACTTGGGTCGGTGCAGTGTAATACTAATAATAACAGTATTGTATTTCCAAATTTTCGACAAGAATAAATGAGCCGTTCTTGATTTGATAAATAAAATAAATTAATTCATTCAATTCACCTACATAAGCCAATCGAAAAAATCTGAATGCAATGATAAATCTCAAATAAAAACCCATCATATTTTACACATTTTAGGTAGGATTTATTCGGTAAAATTTTGAGATGATGCCATGAATTTTTTGGGGGGAATTAATAGATATACTTTGATTAAAAATTTACCTTGCCTGGAATATCTTGCTCCATTTGGAAACAAAAAACACTTAATATTTTTTACTGAAAATCTGACACATCTTACTTATTTCAAATGGTGAAAGTGCTCCATATAGCACGAAATTCATAGTCACTTGGATTACAGCATTCTAATGCTTGAGCACTTTCCCCTACGTCCTGTCTACTTAGGCCATAAAGGACACCGTTAAAGTACTACTACCTAATAGATACTTTTTATGTTCCCAGTTAAATTCGGATTATTCCACAATACTTCCCATTTTGTTTTGTCAGGGAAAAGAGATAAATAAATTTCATTTTCGATATGACATTTTTGATACGACAAGAAATGTTCTTTGTCATTTTGTGGTCGATATGATTTTACATATGTAAATTAATGGTGTTTTTTATATCTACAATGTATTTGGCAGTGGTGCAGAAGAGAAAAATATAGAGGTCAATTTTCCTTTGTATAATTTTGACTAAAGGTTTGTTTCAACGCTTGGAGTTCACAGAATAATTCCAGTTGTTTTGTATGTGCATTTCAACAACACTCTGTATTACGTCCGAATTGTCACCCGAAATGTTGCGGGTTGTCTCCAGGCGAGCAGGTACACAAATTTTAAGCCGACGTCGTTAATGGGATTAAATTTTGGTTCCTGGTAATTTTGGTCAACCACATAAATTCCAAGTAGAACTCTATATACATATATAATTATATACATCTGTTTTTAGATTTAACTCAATTGAGAAATAATAATTAAATGAATCGATTTTGTAAAGGCAATATCGAATCATTTTAAGGCATTCAAGAGATAATACATATTTCTATTTATTTGTATGTAGATTACGTGGATGTATTTTCATGTAGTTTGGACATAGTGTATAAGCAGCTACCTGTTGCCTGCATTCTTCTAGATTTCTAAATATTTTAAAGTATTAAAATGGTTTGATCTTTCTCCTACTTCATAAGAAATTAGTATTTATGATAATGCGAGCGCTACGCTCTTTTATCTCCTTAAGGCACTGATAGGCAATTCAATCCTAACCATTTTGCTGTTCAGGTATAAATCTTGTCCGTTTGTATGGTTCTGATGTTCTGACGTTCAGTGGTAGGTAACCATAATCATAGAATAGGATTTTAATGGTAAATATAATTAGAAAGTAGACACTCCTGTACTGTTGACGGTAGGTAAACAGCTCTCGAAGAACGCTTAATTACACGGTTCGTTGAATCAGGAACTGCAAAACCTAATACTTTGAAATCTTGCAGAGGTTTTAAACTTATTATAGGATTAGTAAAGTTTTAATCCAAGCATTTCTGTTTATTCCCCCGAAAAATTTGATAACGTCATCTCAAAATTTTTTCGAAAAAATCTTACCTATAATGTGCAAAATATTGTATAGGTTTTGCTTGTGAGTTTTCATCCAATTCATATTTTTTAGATTTGTTTATGCAGGTGGTATTTTATTAACCAAATCAAGAACTACTTACTCCATTTTGCCGAAAATTTGGAAATATAAATACAGTTCTTATTAGTATTACATTGCCCTTGCAACAATTTCGATAACGTCATCACAAAATGTTTTAAAGTAAAAATTCATTTGAAAGATACCCTTCTTTACATTTCCTTTAACATTACATACATATATTTATTTCAATTTATAGGTATTCTCATGAAAAAATAAAATTCGCAAACTCAAATTTAATAATTTTTCGAAAATACTGGATATGTTTCATTGTAAATACTTCAGGGACGAGGGAAGTTCTGTCGAAACAACCTTCGTCAAATTTTTTATAGAAGCGAAAAAATGAAATCTCAGTGGTCCCTTCTATTCATTATCGTAAAGTTATGCTTAATAATTTTGAAATTTCAAATTTCGCGCGGATGGTACACTTTTCTTCGCGTAGATTTAGTGACTTTTCTGTCACTACTACTTCTTGCTTACGCTCAGGAAATAAAAATGTTAATATTTTTAGACATCGAAAGAAGGTCACCTAGACATTTGTATGATTTGAATGTGTTTATTGCATCAAAAGGGATGACTGACTAATTCATTTTTTTGAGTAACCCTGCAAAAGCAATTAAAAAAAATTGGTCTAAAGAGTTTAGACAGTACTTCCCTCGCTGTCGGAAACTTGACGACTGCATGCCTATTGTGTTTTTTTTCTCATTACATTTTTGTAATGGGAATTTAAAAAAAAAATGCGATGACGTCATCAACATTTTTGCAAGGACACGTATATCAGTTGGGATAGATGTAGTGTAATACTAAGAATAAAATTATTATATTCTCGAATTTTCGGGAAAATTAATTGGGTCGTTTTGAATATTGATTTGTAATAATCAATAAAATAACGAAACAATTTACTCACGTATACGTATCAGAGGCAACTGAAAATCGTGTATGTATAAACATTCTTAATTTAAGATGACAGGCGTAACAGCATACGTGAGAGTCAAACAGAGAAACTGTAAACAAAACGACCATCGGTTTTATTGCTTCGACTTCCCTTATTATATAAAACATTGGGTTTTATTTTAATTCTTGACGGTGAAATTCACAATTGGTTGATTATAAACATGTCTATTTTACATTCGCGGAACCAAGTGAGCGCATAAAACAAATACAGGTCTGTAATGTTAAAGTCGATGTAAATAAGCGTGCTACCCTTATGTTTCAACCGAGTTTTTCCTTTAACAAATTTTGTGTCTACCAAATTGGGTTGGTTGGGGTGTAATACTAATAATAAGTGTTGCCTTTAATTTAATCAATAAAATAAATTGACTTCATTAGCTTTTTTGAACCACCTCTTAAGAAAATCTAAAAAATATGAATGGAATGATAAATCACAAGTACAAACTCATCATATTTTTTGCATTTTAGATAGGATTTATTATTCAGCAAAATTTAAGGGTGACGTCATCAATTTTTTTAGGAGGGATGAACAAATACATTTTGAACAAAAGTTTACCATGCTTATAATAACTTTAAAATATTCCCAAGATTTCAAAGAATTCGAAATCGATAAAATAAATTCACGCCTTCATTAATTTTTTTGAGTCACCCTGCATATGCAAATCCAAAAATATGATTGGAATGATAAATCACAAGTACAGACTCATCATATTTTGTACATTTTAGATACGATTTATTCGGCAAACTTTTGAGCTGACGTCATCAGTTTTTTGTAGAAGATAACCAAATATAT